AGAATTCTCGCACTTATATTTATATATATATATATATATACTGACTTAGTATGACATTAACTTATCTGTTATACCCACAATTGTCCTCCCTCTCTTCTTCAAGAGAAATATGCTGGTTTCGTTTAAACATTCAGTGAATTTCTTACTACCTGGGGGAGTTCAAAATATGTAGATTATTGATTCCCAAATGAGCTTAGTACCGTGGCGGAACTTGAACCGCGAACCATGTGATCCATAGTCTGGCGACGTATCCATGAGCCCACAACACCTCTACAATGTGTCTAGAGTTGGTTGAGGACATGCATTCCATATTATACGCAAAGCCTTATCCTCCTCAGTCACTCAATGAGGATCGCTTAGCAATATGATTTTTAAAATACACAGACGAAAAAGTCTATTAAGGGTTTAATAACTTTGTTTTACTTTCTATGATCCACCCCTTTTGTTTACAACAATAATTTGTCATTGATATTTGTGTTGTCTTACAGTGGAAATTTTTTTTGGTTCGATTTGATATGAAGTGCTTCCTTCAATATTATTTTAATCTTTAACACGATGATTTTAATTGTGTTAATTGCCTCCCCTCTTCGTCTTGCTCACACTAGCTCTCCCTCTCTCACCCTCTTTCTCTACCTGTCTCTATCTCCCTTTCTGTCTTTCTTTATGTCTTTCTCTCCCATTCCTTCCCCTATCGATTTCAAAGTCATATTGGTTATGACTTTTAAATTAGGAGCTACCAAAGTTGGGTACACTTTGTTGTTAAGCGCACTGTATAGGTAGTGGGCCACATCAATAAAAAGACTTCTTGCGGGCCGAGGAATTAGTACTACCCGGTTCTAGGACAATTACCCCCTGGGCAATCACACCCCGGAAAATTACCCCCCAAGGACAACTACCCCTGAGGACAATAACTCCCCGAGGAAAATTACCCCCGAGGACAACTACCCCCCGAGGGTAAGAGGACACATTTTATTTTGTTTTGGTCTCAAAATTGGAAAATTTGGCCGGTCGATATTTCGTTTCGTTGGGTGGCGCGGGGTAAGGTCAGCTTTTTGGGGTCACCCATTGCCACAATTTTTTTTTGGTATTATCATTATTATTTAATTTTTGTATTAACAAATAAATAAGGGGGGGTTTCCGCCAAAACACACACATAAAAAAAGGTAAAGGGGGTTCAACCCCCCCCCCCACCCCCCTTGCGTACGCGCCTGTAACTATATAGCACGTTATCTTCCTGATTACTATACATTTCCCTTTATAATTATAATTTATGCAACGCCAGTGAGGTTGCTAATTTCCACAAAGGATGTAAGTTTTAGGTAATTGTCCAGCGCTTCTCAAAATGCATAGAAATACATTTCTCTGGAGCAGCGTTATTTCACCTTGTTGTTAGTCATGGTACAAGTCGGGACCCTCTTTAGAAATTAAAAGTTTCTCCCAAATCCCAAAGTCTTCACAGACTACTTATTTCGCACGACTCTGGCACTCGTCAAGTGCTATGTACATATGTATGGGCACATTTAAGAATAAAAAAGGAGAAGACATTTTCAAACTGATAAAAATTAGTTTGTAATCAATACACCATAAACGATTTAAATTAATGTATGCGGGCACCTTGCCGCCGAATGTACATGAATACAAAGTGATATATTCGGTCATGACCTTGATGTACAAATATGAGGATATTCGGGGCTATAGTTGCCCTTATTTATCATGTTTTTAAATGTAATGAGTGCGGTAACAACGTAAGCTCGAAATAAAAGATATAATATATATTCGGGCGCCTTGCTGTCAAAACATTGTCAGCGAGCAAGGGAGAATCACACTTCATTATCTTTAAAACTTTATTTTCTTATGTAATTACGTACTCTAACTGTTTCTGATATTAATTTTTCACAAAATCAAAGTTTTTCCAATGTAACTAACATTCCCTTGCGGCACCCCGGTTGAAAAACGCTGCGCTGGAGTTATAAAATCAAATGAGATGAATTACCAGAAAGCGAATATTTATTTTCTTTTTCCATGGCACCTTACATATAACTTGAAGGCAATTTCTATTTCAAAATAATTTAACGTACAAGAAAACATATTAAACTTCAGCATGACAACATAAATATATAGATAACGTGAAGAAAACTTTAATTTTGGATCATGGATAAGGGCCCATACCAGGGGCGGCGATTTCTTTTCATGACCGGGGGGGACGAAATGCGAGGGACGGGGGGGGGGGGGCAGTGGCGTAATGAGTAACAAATTTGTAGTTGTCCTCAGAGGGTAATTCTCCGAGGTAATTTTCCGTGGGGTAATTGTCCTTGGGGGGGGGGGGGTAATTGTCCTCTGGGGGTTATTGTCCTCGGGGGGTAATTCTCCGGGGGGTAATTGTCCTTGGGGGGGGGGGGGTAGTTTTCCGGGGGTAATTTTCCGGGGTGATTGCCCAGAGGGTAATTGTCTTGCTATGGTACTACCCCATAATTGCCAGGTACCACTTTGATTCACCTGGACCGAGAGAGACAAATTTGAACGGTCCAGGGACCTCTTATATGAGTGGCCACAGACGTCACTAATAGGCCTATATACCATTGTTCTCCTATTACTTCTCAAGCATGATTATCTCCTTCGTTTTTGTGATAGATGTTGTTGTTGTTCGTCTTCGTTTTTGTTTTTGTCGTCGTCAACAATCATGCCGTACTCGTAATGACTTATAGCTTTGACGTAGGGTCACCAAATTTATACCACAGGTACATCTCTTGAAGGTGCAGGTCAATATGAAAATGGGTTAAATCTGACAACGGTCAAAGGTCAAAGGTACTAGAAAATTAAGGGAAAAGGCGCTATAAACGCAATAACGTTCGTATCAGGACAAGTACCCCCTAGACAATCACCTCCTGGAAAACTATCCCCGGAAAATAACCCTAGGAAAACTACCCCAAAGATAACCACCCCCTCCCCCTGAAAATTACCCCCTGTTCATTAATTGGGAAGTTCCCCGTAATAATAAGTTTGTTTTAAGAAAAGCAGAATGTTTGGGGGTAAATGTCCTCGGAGGTAATTGTCCTTGGGGTGGTTGTCCATTTGGGGTTATTTTACAAGGGGGTATTTACCGGGGGCTATTGTCCCTCTGGTAACTGGCCGGAGTTGATTGACCAAGGGGTGATGGTCCTAGAACCAATAACGTTTTATATCTTTAAGGCAGGATTTCCCAAATTCATACCACTGGTATATATATAATGAAGGCGAAGGCCGAATTTGAAAAGTGGGTCAAATCTGTCCACGCTCAAAGGTCAAGGGTCAGACTTTCAGTAGAAAGTACTTTACTATCGCAATAACTTGCTATAGCTATGAAGTAGGATCACCGGATTCATACCACATTTACTTGTTTTGAAGGCGCTAGTCAATATCAAAAATTGGTAAAATCTGACCAAGGGAAAAATATGACCAAGGAAAAAGCTTAAAAGATAAATAAACTTTCAGTCAAAAGCACGTTACATGCTACATCTCTTGAAGGTGCAGATCAAGTTAAAATAAAAATAGGTCAAATCTTATCGTGGTCCAAGTTCAAATGGTCAACGAATTTTCAGCAAAGAGCACTGTACAGGCAATTTGTTCTACAGCTTTGAGGTAGGATTACTAACAATCCTGAGGTGGCATTATTTTCATGTGCGTATGTGTGCTCACTCTCATCGCGGGACACAGGCGAGACGACACTTTGCGTTTGCCTTGATTACTTATTCTAGGTTCTAGGATAATTACCCCTTGGGCAATCACCCCCGGCAAATTACCAGTTGGACAATCCCAAAGACAATAACCCTCCCCCCGGAAAATTACCCCCGAGGAAAATCACTCCCCCTCCCCCCCCCCCCCCCCCCCCCCCCAAAGGACAATTATCCCCCGAATAAAAATCTGCTTTTATAACAACCAACTTATTATTAGGCTGGACTTCCCCTTTAATGGACAGGGGGTATTTTTCGGGAGGCATTGTTCTCGGGGGAATTGTCCTAGGAGGTTTTTTCAGGGTTGGGGGTAGTTGTAGTTGCTGTTGCTGTATAGATCTACGTTGCAGTAGCTCCTGAGGCGTATTACAAGCGTATTGACAGCGGCTCGGATACATGTCTCTTCCCGAGACAATTATAACACGCTTCTTCGTTTAAAGTGGCATGTTCCCCGTATTCCAGAGGGCGTTCAAAATACGTACCCGCTGGCGGACGGTGCTAGCTGCCTATTGACACCAACAGAATACGGCTCTTACGCAGATGGCATGTTCCGAATGCCCGCACAATGCCGAATATCGCATACATGTGCCGAAGTAATACCAATCGCAGTTCGGCTCTAAGATTCGGCTGCTGTTTCCGCCCACTTTCGTGACGTCACAAGAGTCGGCAGCGATCAGCTGGCTTGGCAAAGGCAGGCCAGGACGCGCGTACTTTGATTGACAGCTGTATGCAAATAAGAAGTCGATCTTCGGAACCAAGATGACGATGACTAGAGCAGCGATAACTACACTGGCGGGAACGTGCCCCTAAAACATATTCACCTCGTGCACGACAAACTTCAAACCACATCCGCCACGACGCTACCATTTCTCCGGATGGCCTGTGGTTAGCTCTTGCCCCGATTTAGGCGTTCGCGCTGCACTTCTGTTGCGCTGCTGCTGATTGCAATGATCACCCGTGTTACCATGAAAGGCAATAGGGGCACTTTATCACATGCTCAAGAGATATTAAATCCATCTTGGTCGCAGGCTGGTACTCGACTAAAGAAATTCCCTGATTTATATACCGATGTCATGAAATCGACGCAGAAGCCCAACATGAACCTATAACATTCGCCCCCTCGTTTTAATAAGCGCATTTGCCTCGTATCACGATCGCTTCGATTGCAGAATCAGTGCATCTAATCGGCCTCGAAATAGGGCGAGAAAGTGGCAGCGTCGTGATTTCATCGTATCGCTATCGCATTCAGCGCAGGTAGATCTCAACTGAGTTGTTGTATAGTCGCCTCACAGGCTTAAAGTGGGGTTGGATGGAAGTTCTGCCAAGCTCAACGAAATTTTCGCAGATCGCCATGGTCGCCATAATCGCCTTTCTAGTGAGATGAGGGTATAAAAAGTCATTTTACAAAAGTTCCGATGGAGAACGCTTTGGCCGTTTAGGATTGTCTAGGACTGTTATTTCAACTGTTTTGAGAAACTTTATTTAAGAGTTCATCTCAAAATGTGGTTCCGTTTCAATAATGTTACCAATTTCGTTCGTCTGTTTGTTTGTTTTTCTTAGATGATAACTTTACTCTTCGAATTTCTTGTTTTGAACTCAGCTGTTGAAATGACGGGGATCCCGTCTAATGAACACTTGTCATAGATTTAAAATGACCATAACTTGATACCGATCGCAACTCTGTACCAAAGAGATAGGATTTTGATTTTAAGCGCAACTATTTATGTTAAAACGGGATTTTAAACGTGTTTTAAATAAGTGAAAAATCAATAACAAAGGCACGGCCCTGTATTCAATATTTTTAAATATTCTATGTCATTTTTATGTCATTTTTAACTGTTCCATGTTTTTTTCTTTTTTTCTTTTTTCCTCATGTAAAGCGGAGGCGATGGTATTTGTGGCTGACTCACTTAACGATGCAATATTCATGGCCGACTTTTCCAGCGATAGCCTCGACTCTTTAACATTCAATGCTTTGCCCTTCGGTAGTTTCGTCGTTCAACCATATGGCGTCGATTACGATTCCGATACTCGCATGGTGTACTGGACCGAATATGCAGGATCCATACGACGCGCAAATATCGATGGCACTATGCAAAGCGTGATCGTCGATAGTAATGATGCCAGACGTTAGTATTCCTAAACTAAGATTTGTCTTTCTTCTTTAAAGTTTTAAGATAAATTGCATTTTAATTTTTAAATTCTTTATAAGAAATAAAAACGGTTGTAAAAAAAATATGCCTTACAATTCACCGGTTTGTTTGTTTCTTTGTTTTGATTTTTGTTTAGTTTTAGTTTTGTTTTTTATTTCATTTTGTTGCTTCTTCTTCTTTTCGCGTTGACTTCTACATCTCCTTTTTCTCAAGTTCCTTTTACTTTTCCCTAGTAACTTTTTACTTCTTGGCTTGACCTTCTACTTCGTCTTTTTCTTCTTCTTGTTTTCTTTTTGTTTCTCATTCTTGATGCTGATGCTGTTGATGTTCTTACTTTTGATGATTTTGTATACCTTTTTTGTTCTTTATTCGTTTAACTTCATCGTCTTCTTTTCCCTCTTCATCTTGGCCTCCTTGGTACACTTTATCTCTACGACTTGATCCTTCCTCTTATCTGCATCATAACCATCGTCCTCTTCTTCATCTGTGGTCTTGTTTCTTCTCCTCCTTCTTCTCATTGTCATCCCTGAAGGTCACCATGTCATTGTTTTCTTCCACAGGGTCATACGGCATTGCGTTGGATACGAGTCGTGGTAAAGTCTTTTGGACAGATTTAAGCCTGGACCGAATCATGTCGGCTAATCTCGACGGATCCTCTCAGCAAATTCTCATCAATACCGACATATACACTCCATTCGCAATCATTATACACAAAGGAGAAGGGTAAATATATGTATTTTGTACTCTCTCACACACACACGCACACACACACACACACATAGGCACACACACATACACAGCCTCTCTCTCTCTCTCTCTCTCCCTCTCTCACTCTCTCCCTCTCTTTCTCTCTCTCTCTCTCTCTCTGGTACACACATACCCCTTTATCTTCCTATTTAACAATATCCCTCTCTCTCTCTCTCTTTTACTCTTGTTATCCCTTTGGATTCCTTTCTTTATCGCCATCTGTCAATCTTTTACTCAATTTCTCTCTCCCGCTCCTCTGCATCAAGAAGAAGGGTAAATATATGTATTTTGTACCCCCTCACACACACATACATACACACACTCTCTATCTTTCTCTTTCCCAATCTCTCTCTCTCTCTATCTCTATCTCTCTCTCTTTCTCTCATGTTATCCCATCGGAACCCTCCCCCCCCCCTAATCTCTCTTTTTATCCCTTTGGATCCCTTTGGTTCCCTCAATCTCTCCCCCTCTCTCCCTCTCTCTCTCTCTCTCTCTCTCTCTCTTTATCCCTTTATTTCCCTTTCAATCTCCCGAACTCTCTCGTTATCGCTTTGTTCCCTTTCTCTCTCCTAATCTCTCTTTCTCTCTTTATCCCTTTGTTTCACTTTCTCTCTCTCAATATCTCCCTCTCTGTATATCTCTCTCTCCCTCTCTTTCTTTCTCTCATTATCCCTTTGTTTTCCTTTCTGTATCGCCATCTGTCAATCTTTAACTCATTTTCTCTCTCCCGCTTCTCTGCATCCATCGATTTTCCTGGTTTGATATTCATATCATTTGTTTCGGAGCTAAAAAGGCGTTAGGTTTGTGTTGATTTATCTTTTAATGCTCTTCTGGCTTAAAACAGGGTGATATAAACATGAATTGTAAATGAAAGATTTCGGAAATGGAAAGCCAACTAGGCTGATATCTAAAGTAACTTCACTGTGGCTCAACAAATAAGTGATAAAGTGATTACCACCTTATACTAGGCTATGCAGAGCTTTTTTTTAATTTCAAGTGTTTATTGACGCCATCTACATTGTGCATATTGTATCAAACATTTAGGGTTTTTGGACACTTCCTATGCCTGCAATGATAACAACATCGTACATGTACGGATTGAATTACCCAAGAATGTTTCAATTGTTCATGCATTTCCCCCCCTTGTGTTACTCTTTCAACTTTCTTTATTCAATCATCTCCTTTTACGAATTTCCACGGAGATATAAAGAGTATCAGGTGTTGTGATTTAGTAGTTCAACTCACTTAAATCTCAATCCAATAGTTGATGGTTCGAAATCGAACCCTGTACTAACAACTTCTGGCAAGTCATTATTCCACATTTGCTACTCTCGGATGTAAATGGGTACCTGGCGAGTGTTGTCAAGTGCAGGGCCCTCAGGAAGAACAGCATTGGAACTGCTGATACCTCCCTTTGTAAATAAGTAGTAGTAGTAGTAGTAGTAGTAGTAGTAGTAGAAGAAGTGTAGTAGTAGTAGTAGAAGTAGTAGAGAAGTAGTAGAGAAGTAGTAGTAGTAGTAGTAGTAATAGTAGTAGTAATAGTAATAGTAGCAGAAGTACTTTTTGTAGTTGATGTAGAAGGAGTGTAATACTAGTATTATTATCATTATCATTATTGTTCTCCACCCTCATACAGATTGATGTTTTGGACAGAAACTGTATCCCCAGGTGGTCGAATCGAAAGGGCCAATCTTGATGGCGGAGACAGATACGTCATTGTCAATTCTGACATCACATTTCCCAATGGGTTGGCTTTTAATGCTGACTGTAAGGATTAAAGTCAAACAATTAAACAACAATTTCACAGGATAATTTCCTAGTTTATTCAAAAAGATTATGAATCATAACAAATAATTACAAAATAATGATATACTATAAAAACGGATCTACGACCATTCCCCCTAGAAAATCATCCCGGGCAACTAGCAGTGGGACAGTTACCCCCCATCCCCCCCCCCAGGACAATTTTCCCCGGGAAATGACCCTCTAGGACAATTAACCTGTAGGACAATTACCCTCTTAGGGCAAGAACCCCCGAGGCCAATCAACCCCTAGGACAATTACCCCCTGGACAAAATCACCCCTAGAACGATTACCTCCCAAGACAATTACACCCTCACGATAATTACCACCTAGCACGATTGCTCTCGGACACTTATCATCCATAAAGTTACCCTCTGGCCAACTAAACCCTCTAGAGATTATCCCCCCCCCCCCTCCCGGATTGTTGACTACTTTACCCGTCGTCACAATTACCGTGGACCTGTGTGATAAATAATTAATTTAATTCCCTGATAATCCTTAAGGTAAATGCATATGAATGTGCATGATTTCCATCCAACCGGCTTGCACTAAGTATATGATATATGTATATGTATTATATATGATATGAATTTTGTATATGATATACTACCTGTCTCTTGTTGCTATCCTTACTAGTTCAAGTTCAAGTTTTACTTTTCACATTCCATTTTTACAAACATACCATTAGAAACATAAATAATATGAACAATAGCAAATGTACATATTAACAATACATTACAGTGGAAGGAAAATATGGAAGGGAACCGCATAGGCCATTTACCTTTCAAAGCAGAACCCTAACAAATAATGTACACACGAACACGCACACACTATCGCACACGTTTCTGTGTGCCGCCAAAGCCAAATAATAACTTTGCATGAAACAAAAACAACTCCAAGCAAGGAATTTACCATCAAATAATGAATAACTGCTCTGTCGGACAAGGCAGAAAATTGGTCATAACCACCTCCAAGATATTAACATAGAAACACAAATATTTTTTAGTAACATATTTGCATAGAAGCGAACTGTTTGAGGGTTAAAATTTATTAACAATATCTCCCCTAAGTTTTCTTATAAACTGTTGGTCATAATGGTGGAATAATTATTTTTACCCCAATTTATTGAATGATTTTAAATGATGTTTTATTCCTAATAGATCTAGATAATAGTATACATTCTCAAATGTTATTGAATGACAATTGGGGAGTGTTTGTTTTGCGTGACTGCTAAAGCATGTGTGTGCTACTATGCTAATCAACAAGGGGACCTACGTCCTTAAGTCATAACTGACAGTAATGGGGATTAATGCCTCATAAAATGGCACTAATATAGCACACGGTTTTGATCCTGGGGGCTCACAGTAACGAAGCCATTGCTTAGCCAATGAATCATGACTGTACGCAGCGGGCGCTAGGGTACGTCGACGCCCCCACACAAAAAAATAAACAAAGCAAATACAATAAATTATCAATGAATCATTGCATTTTCCCCCAATCCAAAACATTTAAAACCCTCTGTAGGTCCATGCGTTATGGTTCAAGGCATGCCCACATAGAGGATTTCTGTAATGTTGGGGGTCGGGGCAAAATACAATGAATTATTGAAAATTTATTGCATTTTCTTTAATTTTTTGTTTTTGTGGGGGCGTCGACGTACCCTAGCGCCCGCTGCGTACAGTCATGATTCATTGGCTAAGCAATGGCCTTGTTACTGTGAGCCCCCAGGATCAAAACCGTGTCAGTGTGCTATATTAGTGCCCTTTTATGAGGCATTAATCCCCATTACTGCCAGTTATGACTTAGGGACGTAGGTCCCCAATTTGATTAGCAAAGTACCACACACATTCTTTAGCAGTCATGCAAAACAAACACTCCCCAATTGTCACTCAATAAAATCTGAGAATGTATACTATTATCTAGATCTATTAGGAATAAAACATCATTCAAAATCATTCAAAAATTTGGGTCAAAATAATTATTCCACCATTATGACCAACAGTGTAAGTACGTTCATTTAAAAATTCTTTAATTTTCTGTTTCTGCCAACAACAGAAAAACTTAATTTCACCATGGTGCAACATTTTATTATCTAACAGTTGCGCTCATTCACATAAATTCAAAGTCGTAAAGGGTTAATTATCCTGGGGTGATTGTCCTAAGGGGGTTATTGTCCAAAGGGGGTAATTCTCTGTGTGTAATTCTCTTCGGGAGGTAATTGTCCAAAGGGGAATTTTTCCTGGGAGAAATTGTCCGTAGGGGGTGATTATCTTAGGGGGTATTTTACCAGGGAGTAATTTTCCTAGGGGGTAATTGCCCTAAGGGGGTATTGTCCTAAGGGAATAATTGTGCTAGGGGTTAGTGTCCCGAGGGTCATATTCCGGGGGTATTTGTTCTTGGGGTTGTTGTCTTTATAGTCAAACAACATACTGTACATAACAATGTGTAAGTTTGTACATACACCATGAAATAGACTGACGAGCAATATAAGATATTTGCTATACCAGGTGATCAAACAATATTTTGTTAAACAAATAACAGGGTGGCGGGTATGATATTTTAATTCAGTTAAGACAGTCTTTCAAGATAATGATCAAATTATTTTCTCGAATTATCTATTGTAAATCTTTCAAGCAGATCATAATTTAGTTTTCAGTATTGATTCAGAACACATCCGATATCTGCCATATGCTGGATATCCCACTCAGAGTAAACAACGTATTAGTGATTATGAATTTAATTAATATGTATATTAACCATAAAGGCGTCGTTTCAAGAAACCGTCGTGCAAAATTGCTGACATCCCATTAGAATGTGTGTATTAAGATTGAGACACGTTTCAATAAGATGTCGATGAACATGTACTTATGACGGTTTCGTGAATCAATGCCTATAGGTTCACGGGTCTACTGGTGCGACAATGGAAACGATAGAATCGAGTCCGTCGACCTCTGGGGCAACGACAGAATGGTTCATATGGCGACATCGTCGATCTCTCCTTTTGACCTAGCAGTCGTCGACGACAGTATATTATGGACGGATCGGACTCATGATGCCATTGGTGTAACTTCAACCAACAGCAGCAGCGGTTACAGTTTCTACTACCACAACACTTTCCAAGCTCCACTCGGCATACATGTGTATCGAGGTTTGTATCTGATTCGCATTTCGAATTCACCGTCATTATAGTGGCAGATCCAGGAGGGGGGCATGGGGGAATCTTAAGAATACATTGACCCATATTATTTTTAAGATCTAAATCCAATGTTGTTTATAATAATTATGAAACATCAACTATAATGAAGTTAAGCCGAGGTCTTCCTTTTCCTTCGTTAAACGTGATCCTTAACCCGGGGTAGGGTTTAAATAAAAATGTAAAAGATGGACCGTTGATTACAAATAGAAAACTAGAATAAACTGTTAACACTCTCTAAAAGTCTCTCTTAAATATGAATAGGAATTCCATCATGAAAGCTATCATAATTATTTTGATTTAATATTAGAATACAATTTCAAAAGTTTGAATAGAAAATTGCCTTTTGCTCCGTCGTGTTTCATTCTTTCCTGTCATCAAAATTTGCAGAAGAAATACCAACAACCACAGAAGTTTACAACCCTACTACTCGCCAAGCTAATACTGGTGAGTCATAACAATCTAGTGGAGGCACTGTGGTACAGTGATGAAGGCTCTTGACTCTCATTCGAGAGTTCCCGGGTTCGATCATTGTTCAGTGGTTACATCCTCAGACAAAAGCGTTTTGCCTTCATATTTTCCTCTCGATTTATGTGTATTTAATGGATACCTACCACTGCTGGGGTAAATTAAATCGGGTAATACTAATTACATGATCCGCAGGAAGAGCGGCATTGTATTTGATGTAGTACCCTTGGTAAATAAGACCGATATATTATTGCAATCGTATTCATTAACCTTATCCTTATTATAATTATTACTATTATCATCAATATTAAAACGATTGTTGTTGTTGTTATCATTTCATGAAGATACCTTTCTCACGATTAAAGATAAACTCTAGTTCTGGTAAAAAAAAATAATAACTCTCACAGAATCAAACGAAACTTACACTGAATGTTCAAGATTACAAATAAATGACATGTGCCAAACAATTTTGAAAGAAAATGTATACTGGCTGAGTAATGAGCATAGAAAGACAAGGAAATCAAGGTAGTACTAGCCCCGACACCATATGTGTTGTCCCATATATAGCTTTCTATGTACAGTGCTTGTTACTTTACCAAGACTCGGTCAAATTTATTATGATTTTTATGACTCCAGAACCTTGCAGTGCACACCAATACTTACATGCTACATGATCAACTTTTTCTGATCCTGTCCACACCTTTTCTTTCACAATGCAATAGCATTACCAGTACTAAAGTTTATCTTTAATGTACTCTTTTTCATAAAGCCACCCTTAGGTTGAAGAGATTCAGCTTCGTGTTATACTTCGTTCTAGCTCAACTACAGATAGAAACAAAGTAAAAACTTGATTAAAGTGGATGACATCTTTTTCTCGTGTTTGGTTGCAAATTATAAGTCTTCTTCGAAATTATAATTAAATTAAAATTTATGATGAACTGTCATAATTGTGAACACTATTCGGCTTATTAATTGTTGGATTAAAAAAAAATAGAATTAAGAAGAATCCTTGAAAAATCCTGACGTATTTAGATTTCGCTCTTATCTCGTACGGTCGCAACACCATGAAAGCAATACAGTGATGTTTTTTCTGTCTTCTTTTGGACCAAAATAAATCCTTTGGTCTCAGTTAACTCTTTTTTTTCTCCCAAAGAAGAGATTCAGATTAATGTTAGGCCTATACTTCGTTCTAGCTCAACCAAACATTTAAATGAAGTAAAACTTAATTAAACTATTAAAGTGATTATACTAATTTACATTGCTCCGAATCGATTTGAAGTGCAGCACATCTATTTCCGGAATTTCTTTGAATATCAGAAGTCTTCATCTGAAATTATAGAATTAGAGTTGTTTGTTGTTGTTTTCATTAATTGTAATGATTTATTATCTGCAACATTTTTCATTAAATTAATATTAATATTTGAGTTTGAAAATTGTATGGCATTGTCAAGGAATAATATCAAGTCTTACCTAAGAAAACGGCAACTGAAATCCTAAAATTAATGTATTTTCTGAATTAAAAAACGTGTTTACCTGTCGACTATGATTGATCACGGACCTACTAGGGTTTGACCATGAGTGGGTAGATTCCACTGACGTAATGTACCATCGCAAATTACGAACTTGCTTACCAGACTAGACGGTAAAGATCGCAATCGGAATCCGATGGAGAAGACGAGTCGAAAAAAAGCTAAAATAGGTCATATCTACAACATATAATGTTGTGAATTTTGTTTCAAGAAGCCTCAACCGACCAATATAGGAAACAATCACTGAACGATGTTTGATTTGATGTAATTTTGTTCGCCAGCATGATTTGAGCACGAATGATGGCCGGCATTAGCGATCGCAATATTAATTACATATTGTGTTCATTTTCATTGATTTCTTCGTCAGTTTTATGTATTAAGCAACATTATCCTTTCTCTTTTCTTTTTTTAAATCTTTATTCAATTCGAAAAACATACATGTAATCAGGCGCGTACGCAGGGGGGGGGGGGGGGTGGGGCGGCTTGGGGGTTGAACCCCCCCCCCCCCATTTGGTATTTTTATGTTTTGAGAAAAAAAAACCTAAACCCCCCCCCTTTGGTTAAAAAAATTATGCCCATGGCTGACCTAAAAAAGGTGACCTTACCCCCCCCCCCCCCCAAACGAAGAAACCCCCCCCCCCCCCCGCAGTCTTCAGATGAGGGTAATATGCGATGATGACTTATCCTAATGGGCCATTGGAGAAGGGAGCCGTGAAGTGAAGGCCATGTTCGGGGATTGATAGCAACATCTGTTATTGGTTAAATACCCGAAGTTTGTCAGGTTGGAAACAAGAACCTATGCTTTAGTGTCCTCAATCGGGAGTTTCCTAACTAGAATCAACATTGAACACTCTCCACCCAGGTGAAGTAAATGGGTATACGGTGGGAAGAATGTCTAGAATGACTAAGCGTCTTATCATGGTAGCTCGGTTAAAACCGGGGTAATAATATGACACAGGACCCTTCGTAATTAACCGTAAGACATTTCATTCGGAAGTTATTGATGGTAGGCCTAAGCCCTAAATAATAAGTCTCTCTTAAATTTGAATAGGAATTCCACCTTGAAAGCTATCATAATTATTTTGTTTTAATATTACAATTCATCTTTTCTCGAAATTATAGATTGAATTATTATTTGGCTGCTGCATTGTCTCAATCCTCAACCCGTCATGAACGTGGTTTAGAATGAAAGGCCTACTGTGGTAAGTATAGATCTAACGTTTGAATAGAAAATTGCCTTTTGCTCTGTCGTGTTTCATTTTTTACTGTCATCATACTTTGCAGAAGAAATGACAACAACAACGGAAGTTTACGACCCTACAACTGACCAAGCTGATTCGGGTGAGTCATAACATTGTAGTGGGGGAATTGTGGTATATTGATGAAGGCTCTTGACTCTCATAAGAGAGTTCCCGGGTTCGATCCTTCTTCAGTTATTACATCCTAAGACAAAGGTGTTTGCCTTTATATTTCCCTTTCGATCCATTCGTATGTAATGGATACCTACCCACTGCTGGGGTAAGTCGGGTAATACTAATTACATGGTCAGTAGGATGAGCGGTATTGTAATTGCTGTGGTAACCTTAGTAAATCTGACGAATTTCATCTGCCATTAACTAGAACTTTACTTGCTAAATCCATATTCACTTACGCAGGCCCGAAGCTATGGACAATTCTTAAAGTTAGCATCAAGAATGCCCCCAGTTTAAATTCTTTTAAATTCAAATTAAAAAAATCTTTTTTTGCGTAATTATCAAGCGATAGCTCTCCCTCTTTAAATTTATTTAACTCAATAAAATACATTTGGATATTTTGAGTCATTTTGTACTGGCCATCCGTATTCGGCCCGCGTTGTGTTGTGTGTGTTATATGTAAGAGCCCTGCCCTCTCTCGTTGTCTCCCTTCTTTCCCTGTCCCTTTCACTCACTCTATGTTATGTTTAATTGGTTTATGTATTTGTGCGTTCCTTTTAAATTGATATACTATTTTTGCAACTATAAGTTATAGGGGGCTGCGATCTACAAGCCCAGCTTTTCAGCAGTCCCCTCCATGACCAACCTGTTTTATATGCCTGTTGTACACTGTGGACCAATTACAAATATTGTTTAGTTTCATTGTTTTACTATGTACAATGCAATCCCATGTACTTTATTTATTTTGTTGGAAATGGAAATAAACGAAATGAAATGAGACCGATTCATTTTTGCAATCGTAATCTTTAACATTATCCTTATTATAATTATAACTATAATCATCAATATTAAAATGATTGTTGTTGTTATTATCAAGATCCCTTTCTCACGATTAATGTACTCTTTTTCATAAAGCCACCCTTAGGTTGGCTTTATGAAAAAGCCAAGACATTCAGCTTCATGTTATACTCCGTTCTAGCTCAACTACAGATAGAAACAAAGTCTTCTTCGAAATTATGATTAAATTAAAATTTATGATGAACTGTCATAATTGTGAACACTATTAAATTGTTTCGGCTTATTAATTGTTGGATTTAAAAAAGAGAATTAAGAAGAATCCTTGAAAAATCCTGACGTATTTTGATTTCGCTCTTCATACTGTCGCATTACCATGAAAGCAATACATTTATGTTTTCTCTGTCTTCTTTGGGACCAAAATAAATCCGTTGGTCTCAGTTGACTCTTTTTTCCCCAAAGAAGAGATTCAGATTAATCATATACTTCGTTCAAGCTCAACCGAAGATTGAGATGAAGTAAAACTTAATTAAATTAAGTAATAGGCCGACTAATTTACATTGCCCCAAATCGATTTGAAGTGCAGCACATCTATTTCTCGAATTTCCCTAAATATCAGAAGTCTTCATCTTAAATTATAGAAATATAGTTGTTTGTTGTTGTCATTAATTTAAATGATTTATTATCCGCAACATTTTTAATTAAATTAATATTAATTTTTGAGTCTTAAAAATGTATGACATTGTCAAGGAATAATATCAATTTTTACCTAAGAAAACGGCAACTGAAATCCTAAAATTAAAGTAATTTCAGAATTAAAAAACGTGTTTACATGTCGACTATGATTGATCACGGACCTACTAGGGTTTGACCATGAGTGGGTAGATTCCACCGAGTCTGTACCATCGCAAATTACGAACTTGCTTACCAGACTAGACGATAGAGATCGCAATCGGAATCCGATGGAGAAGACGAGTCGAAAATGGGCTTAAATATATCTACATCATGTAATGTGAAATATGTTTCAAGAAGCCTCCACCGACCAATACAGGAAACAACCACTGAACGATGTTTAATTTGATGTAATTTTGTTTGTCAGCGTGATTTGAGCACGAATGATGGCCGGCATTAGCGATCGCAATATTAATTACATATTGTGTTCATTTTCATTGATTTCTTTCATCTGTATAATTTTCTTCGTCAGTTTTATGTATTAAGCAAGTTATCCATCCTTTTTTTCTTTTTTAATCTTTATTCAATTCGAAGAACATACATGTAACGTACATAGACAACGATCAAAACATGCAACAAATTTATTTAACAAACCCAGACTCCATGTTGAGGTAAAAACGAGCTTTTTACCACAACATGCAACAACCTTCTTTTTTTTACGACTTAATTACGTATTTAAAAATCTGAAATATTTTGTCCACATTCGTGTTTTTCTTTTTTTAACAGCATAATTAAGACTTTAAAAAATTCCTGAGGTCATGAGCTTTCCGCTGATATATTGTTATGGCTGCTTTAAAGGCGCAGTCATTTCGTATAAACCCCACATAAAAAGTTTGGAAACTCAAGTTTGATCAATCACACCTCTCTTGCCCCAGCCCCTGTTTTTTTTTTAATCCCGCTGCATATGTGTTGAAATAGATTCCAAGCTTTTATTTCTTCCACAGTTCGTCTCGTGAATGGTAATGGAGCACACGAAGGAAGGGTAGAGGTATTCCGCAACGGATCTTGGGGAACCGTATGTGACGACGCTTGGGACATAAATGACGCACGTGTGGTCTGCAGAAGTCTAGGCTACCGGGATGCCCTCAGTGCCCTATGCCAGGCCCGCTTCGGCCAGGGCAGTGGTCCTATTTGGATGGATAACGTCAATTGCTCGGGCATTGAGGCACACATTTTCGACTGCCCGCATAACGGTTTCGGAAATCACGACTGCAACCATGGGGAAGATGCCAGTGTTGTCTGCTTACCTGATCGTAAACACATCTGATTTTTGTTTGTTAGGTCGATGTCTATTTGTTTGTTTTCATTCAATGCTGCCACTGCCCCCTGAAGCCGTTGAACACGAGGCGCTATAACACTACTCCAAAAGACACCAATTGATCAATTGATAAAAATTCACCCGACGGTACGCGGCGAACAGTGATCTCTCCAGTCTAAAGACGCGGCTCTGCACTATACTTGTCAGATATTTTCTGTACGCATTGATTTGTTTGAGTAGATTGTTACGCCAGTTTTCTATCGAAAGTCGAATTTCTGACGAATCCGAAACTTTTTCCTAGACTAGCGCACCCTGCCTCAGGGAGTTGTGTCTGTGTCTGTTCTATGCGTGCATGCGCCTGAACGCGTTTGAACTGCGTGAATTAAATAACGCCTCGTGTGTACCGGAGGCTCATGCTTTCATTCCACACTTAAACACAATTCAATAAAGTCTTGAGCAAAGCCTAACTCAGTCTCTGGGTGGGGGTGAGTGCGGAGTACACATGTGCATACAGAGGTGACATTTGAGTGCGCATGTGCGCGTAAACACAATTACGTACAACTTGCTAGGCTAGGCCGTCTCTTTCCAAATTTATTAAATTATCGAATTTTCTCTAAAAAAAAGAAAAATAATATAAGGCCAAAAAAGAAAATAAGCAGAAGGAAAGGGGATGGAAAGAGAAAGAATCATAAAAGTAGTCATTTATGACATAAAATTGTACATATGTATATATATAAATAATTCATAAAATAGTGTGTGGCAAAAAAAGTCAACTGTGACTGATTGCCAAACAAAATCAAATCAAGAAGAAGAAATGTATCAAAGACGCGGCGTGAAATTAGTGACGGAGGACTGTGTCAGAGAGAGGTTCGGTATTCAACGCATTATGTGAGAGTGACCGCGCGCTGAAAGTGAATTTCAAAATGAGCAGCACAAAACAATTGGTTGAATGACCGTGATAATATGGACCCCATTGTCTTAACAATTTCCATTAGTACAGTTAATTAAATATAATAAAGAAATTACACCATTCAGCAGACAAATCAACGCAATTTTTTATTGGATTCAAATTGTGTACGAATACACTCTCACATGAAAAATACGATCTTTTTTTCTGAGTTTTGATTGCGGGGGGGGGGGGGGGGTTCTCTCATGAACTGACATAATTATCTTTACGTTGGGATGAACGTTCAATAGATTTTGTATTTGCACTTCAGAGAGATGATCTTGTTGGAGAAAAAAAAATGAAGTAAAACACAATATATAAAACATGACTGATGCAGATTTAAAGAAGAAATCTAGGTATAATTAGCCCCTTGAAAATGCACTCTCACCATGTTAGGTCCATAAATTGTAAGAACAGTTGGTTCATAATTTGATCATGCATCCATTTGATATCTTCTTGCAGAGGCAGACCTGACTTGTGACAGCGTGTCGATGACGCTCATTATGGAAAGAACCCTTCTCGGGATCGGCGACGACGCCCGCGATGTCCATTTCGAAGACGAGTCTTGTGTTGCATACGACCACGACAGTCAGCATGTTGCGATCACCACCATGTACGATAGGTGTGGTACTACGCAAGAGGTATGGTCAATAAGACTTTATTTACCATTGAAAAATCACAAAAATACAAGGATTCCAGTATAAATTCCTCTCATGAATCGTTGTTTCATTATATCAGTGACCGTGTTAATTATCTATATTTACAAGTGCTCGTAGAAGAGTATTTCCCATCAGTAATAGACGTATCTGGGAACCCACACGGCTAACATCTGTATCATAATGACTATATTTTGGCTAAATGAATTACACAGTGTGGTTATGATCCTTGATTTAGGACAAATTATCTTTTCTAGATCCATCTATTCATGGTTCCAAGACCCAAGGTTCAAATTTGTTTTTAAATATAGAAGCCGTCTGTCAGGCCGAATGAATTTCTTTCCTCTTTTTTAAAATCAGGGTATTCTCGGCCCAAAGGCTCAAAGAAGGTTTAAGCGTGCACCCTGAAATAGACCACCGATGTATGGGTGGCAATAAAGGCCAAAAACGAACAGAAAGTTATGTACTTTGTCTTTATTCGTAATCTATTTCTATTTCTATTGTTTTAATTTTCGACATTTTGGCCGACGCTAGAAAATCAGAGAATTATATTATTGTTGAGGTTTTATATCACCTTCGGCCTTGTATAAGTGTTGTAGTATACTGGATATAGTCGGTGGTTTGTGGACCACTAGGAACGGGTGAGAGTCCCTGCCATAGCACTAATGTCTTTTGGAAAACACCTTTAATCTACATTTGCTACTCTCCAGTTAGATGGTTACCCGGTACGAAGAAACTATTTGTTCATTCCTTAATATCATAGCTACTGTAAAAAATGATATTATCATCATCTTCATCATCGGTAAAACAGCTCAAACGGTACATTGTTACTTTTTGGTCCCTGTAATAGTTTTTCCATTAACGTTTCATTTAATGTGCCCTCATCCCACCATCAACACCGGCAGCATAACGACGACTACATAATATTTACCAACATGGTGACGTATTACAAGCCCCGCCCTGAAAACGGAACCAATGAGCTCATCGCCAGAGAACACAATCTTAAAATTCCTGTTACTTGCTACCTGGAGCGGACACAGGTCTTGGAAGAGTCCTTCTTGCCTGAAGCAAATCTTTATGTTTTCGAAGAGGTGAGGATTCAATTACTTTGTAGCTTAACCTTATCTAGCTCGGCGGGGGGGGGGGGGGGGGGGGCTCCGTTATGCAAATTTTAAAATAGCCCGGCCTATATAAGGTTAAAGATGAAGTTGAGTTCTGGTCATGCGATTGCATTGTGAAAGAAACGGTGTGGAACCGACCAGAAAAGGTTGATCATCTAACATATAAGAATTTGTGTGTATTGCAAGGTTCTGGAATCATCAAAATTATAAGAAATTTGGCCAAGTCTTGGTAAAGTTACAAACACTTGCACAGAAAGATGTATATGGGACTACACGAACACGTGGCGTAAAAAGCCGGCCCCCGATTTTTACGATGTTACATGCATATTTAGAATATGAAGGCATTTGAAGAGCCATGCTTTTCAGGGAACATGTCTTAACTGATGTTCTTCCACACTTGCATAATAAGAATGAGTAATGCTCACAAATTATTTTTCACCTCTTCCCAGAACTCAACCTTCTCTTTAAGTAAAGTGAGGATTCAATTACTTTGTAGCTTAAGTAAAGTGAGTTCTGGTAGGAGCAGCGTGGCATATTTAGTGGAGATTTCGTGGAATAGTGGTTCGTTTCACTTGGCTACCAATCCAAGGGTTGAGGGTTCTAACCCCAGCTCGGCTCTAACGTCCTTTGGCAAGAACAGTGTAATCATTTTCGAGAGCCAAGACCACCACATTTTTAGGACATTTGGGCTGAATAGAATCACCAAAGTGTGACGTCATACTGGCCAGGTTGTGAGGGTGGCTGGTTCCAAACAAATTTTGCGCTAAACAACAGCCCCAAACACTGAACTATCCCTACTCCAGCCCGTCGCTTGAATGATTTCGCGGTTTAGAACCAGTCATGTGAGTGTTCCCCGTCGTAGAAGGTCTGTCCGTCGCTGAGCGAAAACTCGCTATTAGGGACTTTAAAGGCAACGCCGGGCACTGTCAGTGCCTTAAAAGGACGTCACATTCCATTAAAAGGATGTCACACGTAGCGGTCCACGTTCACGTCGTGCAAATCTAAAAGTTCCTAATACTAGGTGATCTACCTGCCTCGAAGCATGGCAGAGCATCTAAAATTTGGTCAAGATCTTTCTTTTTTTGTTCTTTTATTTTCTTCTATACTTTCTTTATGAATGTTGTAAAGTAGATATCTCATGAATGGCATGGTAAATGACCATGGAACTGTCATGACATGTGGCATTTGTTAGTTTATTGTGCCCAACGAAGAGGGTTTTTTTAATTACTAATGCGAAACGTCATCTAGGCGCCATTTTGTTAATTACTAATATTGCCCATAATTCATTCATACATTATCATGGGTAAACTTTTGGCAACAACCTTTCCCGTGCGCGGGTCACGGCAGACGCGTACGCGTGCGTTAAAATTTTTTAAAATTGGTCAAAATTTTTAATATTGGAACCATATACTAGATACAAGTTTTTGCGCGTGCCGTTCGTTTGAAATGTATTACATTTGTTGTTCTTACTTGTATTGTTTTGCTGACACTTTCCTTAGCAAATTGAATTACTTTCATTTATTATTGATTTTAATTTTGCTCATAGACGTTCATTTAACCTCAAAATTGACCTACACGCGCTTTAGCGAAACTTGCTAGCTATATTAAATCCCCTATAACTCTTTAGAATACCTGTTTACCCAAATTTTTCTATCATGTTATATGATAGGGTATGAATTAAAGATGCGATTTCATGTATCGCGTTTGCTGTTAGAATGTTTTGACATAACCACAGTGCCACTTAAAGGAAGAAACGAATTTGGTTCGACTAGGTAATATTTGCCGTTGCCATCCCCCCCCCCCCACCCCCGGGCCAACAAATGGTTATGTTAATTTTACCTTTTAAAAAAAAATTTTTTAATGAGCCCTGGCAAATAAAAGTAGAAAATGTGATTTATTTTTTTTCTTTTCTAAAGGGGGATGTTAAAAAAGGATTGTTCACTTCCCGCCCCCCACCCCAACCCCGTTTAGTCTTAAAACAAAATCGGTCGGTGCAATTTTTACACGTATAATTTGAAATATATCTCTCTCAATGTGTACTCACCATTTAGGTAGGGTACGGTCATTTCTCGCTAAACCTTGACCGGTATACAAACCCAGGCTTCTACCAACCTGCCAACGATTCCGGCGAAGTTACGCTCGGTACACCGCTATACTTCGGCGTCCGCCTGACGTCCGTCACGAACCTAACGCTTCTCATCGAGTCGTGCTGGGCAACGAGCTCGCCGGACCCACGAGACGACCACCGCTATGATATCATCGACAATGGGTAGATTATTTTTGTTCTACCTTTGCTCACTCTGTTTTTAATCTTATCCTGTTGATTCTTTTATAGGGATTATACCGATTGAGGCTTAGCTTCCCTCATTTTTCTCCCTCGGGTTTTCTCTTTTTCCTGTTGTCAATGATTTTTTTTTTTTTTTTGGGGGGGGGGGAGGTGGTCTCAGATTCTTACATTTCATCCACCAAGTAAGAGCAGTGCACCCCCTATCATTCAATGATATCGACTGTGTCATTCCAACGGGTCGAACTGGCTATGGGGGTCTTAGAAGTTTCCCACTACAGGTCGCTTGATAGGCCTATGATATCTGAAGCCCTATCGAGTTGTGCTCTGATTGCCGGTTGATATGTATCCTAGAGGTCGATTGGGCACGTCGCATCGAAATTCTTAACCGAATTTTAGTCCAAGTCCGCTCCTGCATTAACCTAAAGCTTTATAAATGCACTACGTATATCATCATGAAAGCCAAGTTATTTTTGATAAATGTAATTGTGTTTTTTAGATGTGCCGTGGACAGCACAACAGTCATCTTCAATTGGCCCTCTCCAACTTTCAATGGATTCAGTATCGATGCTTTCACCTTCATTGGCGATTACGACAAGGTGAATGTCTACAATGGCCCTTTGTTCCTCTCTTTTCCGTTACAGCCGATGCGTCATTAGGGACTTTTAGATTTGCGTGGACTGATACGTGGTACTTCCATTCAAGGCAGTGCTTTAAAAGGACGTCGATCTTGGCATAGACCTATTGTCTTCGTGCGAATCTAAAAGTCTCTATTTATTGAAGTAGTACTGCGTTAGTGATTAGTGCAGTCTCTGATGTGGCATGTGGAAGTGACAAGCAGTGATTGTAAAATGAACGGTTGACTTAACTTTAGAATACCCCCACCAATAGGGTTCATGTTCATATATGTCGAAGACCTAGGGTTAGGATTGGGATTAGGTTCAGTGTTACCTAAGAAATTTAAAATCTTCAGATTTAGCTTAATTTATGAAGCGTTGGGTAACCTGCGGACGTTAGGTGGGGTTTTATAAAGTTGCTCCGAACGGTGCAGACAATGAGTGCAAACGGAAGCATGGGCTACTTGACTTAACCACATGCTAAATTAATTAACGCAGAAGCAAAGGTAATAATGCAATCGAAGTGACACCTCATAGGCAGCTGGGGCTTTACTCTATGATCTACTGACGTAGGAATGCGTCAGGAACTGGTCTTACACGCCAATTGTTTGAGACACCACACAATTACCGAATGCAAAATCATAGTGCAAGAAATATTGACTTGAATTACAGTTGCATGCTAAAAATTCCTATCGTATCTTGATTAAGATATCGAAATGAAGTATGAAAAGTGCAAAACCAAACAAAAACAAAAAATTACAACCAAAAAAACCATAACCACCGCACATTTATAAGATCCTCCTGTGATCTGATTTTCAAAGAAATGGCAATCATATTGGATATTGCAATCTCTTAAAACGTCATCTTCCTCATTTAGGTTCTAAATAATGATAAGAATACTAAACGATATTCGTCATTGCGAAAATCGGAATTTTAGTGCATTTAGACAATCGCACTACTATTAGGGTGATCACACTGCCTGTGCACACAGTCTGCCCCGCGAACACACCCACACACAACAGCAGTCAGTTGGTAGAAATAGCAATCTTTGTAAATTTATTTTAAAAAACTGAACAATATTTTTAAATTTTTATTTCACATATGTTTCAAGCATACCTTTAACTACAATTATATATGTAGTTTCATTGTTATAGGCATGTGGGAAATATGTTAAATTATTTAATTAGAATATTGTCTTTTCAGCCATGTGTGACATGGCCCGCTTATCGCCCATTGACTTGCACTGTTGTTATTCTGCGTGCTGAAAATGCACCTCAATGTATAAAACTCCCCTACAAAAATGCAATATCCTCATGTGTTTCACTCATTGAATCATGGTAGCCACAACTGTACTGGCGTCACCAAACTTGTTTTTACTCTGAAATTCAGTCCCTGTGGAATGTTATGACCTGTTGAAGAGAAATATTATGGCCTGTTGAATGGTTTCTCGGAAAAACGTCATAAATCCTCAAATCTGACATCTTTTAAAAAGAAAAATATACTGTGATTGTAGCTGAAAGTCTGCAAATTCTTATCATGTGATCGGTTTTTCTAAATAATTTGTGAAACACATGAGGAAATACCTGTAACGGTGATCCAAGTAATTCCCATCGCCATATTTCTTATTATCAAATTTCCGAATCGGATTGTAGTCAGATTGTATAGCGTGCAGTTGGCATTATCGAAATGTGGGACTTTGTTATAATTTACAACAACTTATGATTAGCGTTAAACCATATTACATGTCGTAAAGATGATTAAATATATTTTCACCTTTAAAGTAGCTCTGTCGTCTCCCAAAACAGGTTTACGTCCACTGCTCAATCCTGATCTGTGACAACAACGACTCGGGCTCCCGCTGCGCTCAGGGATGCCTAGCACGATCTCGTCGAAGCTTGCAGCCGACAGGCTCCCGATCAAAACCTCATACAATCACGAACGGACCGCTCTCCGATGCCTCACGCTCTCAAAGGGCTATGTTGCTTGATAGCGTTGATGACGGTGAGTAGTGTCCGAAGAGTAAATAATGTTGACAAGAATAATGTCCTGTATGTTCACGGTGCATTATAATAAGGCGACATCCGACATTACCGAATAATGCAAAGGAATTCATGTCACATTAAGCAACGAACAATACAAGACAGTAGCCATGTCCAACAAGGGGCTTTCTAGTCGGCGTAAGTTTTTCCCTGTAGTAATAAATATTCCACACATATTTTACTGAAACCAATATTTCTCCATATGCTCTCACTCGCACCAACTTGCCACGATGAAGTTGACACGACCTTTCTCTGACGCAGTCTTTACTCAGCTTCCGCATCTAAACCGCGCGGAATCTAATTTTTTATTCTCGATTGTAAACCAACAATACTTGTAAAAGGTCACAGATACTCCGAGTGCTAAGTTAGAGCATCCATACAGTCAACTTACGCTACCCTGCCCTTTAGTCGTGTTATCGCGTTACTCCTGGAGAAATCCAGAAGGAAAAACCAGTCGGCGTAAAGGTCGGCGTAGCTAACACGACTATCGTTGACTATACGCCGACCTGTACGCTGACCTTACCATATTTACGCCGACTAACACTAAACACTACCTTTGCGCCCATCAAAATTACCATGTGTGAACACGGCCAATGCAATCAGCTTACAACGAGTGGTATGTGTAGCAAAGGTTCAATGATTTCCTTCGGCATGATCAGTCGACCCAGGATTTAGGTCAAATGTTTGAAGTTGTATTATTTTGTTTGTCTATTTTAATCTTATCCGTATATATCCCCTGATTCAGTTATCGACCCCTCCTTCAGTTCATAATTACCTACGGGTCATCTGACAAAATATGAGGGATATAATTCATCGAGATATACTTCGTGAACAAATAGATCATTTTCGTAATATAATTGTTGCTAGGTAGGACAAACATTATGGTTTGTCCTATCTAACAACACAGAATGTATGCAATTCGCATTATAACTATTGAAATGCTATTATTTGTAAACAAAAATAATTTGTAACGAGGAACTTTAAAAAAGAGTTGTGCTTCAATTTTTATTACATTACAAAAATTGTCTATTCCCCTATACCCCCCGTGTTAATTGCTAGTCGGCATAAAATATGGTGAGGTCGGCGTAAAAGTCGGCGTAGTGATAGCCGTGTTAGCAACGCCGACTTTTACGTCGACCGATTTACTCCTGGATTTATCCAGAAAGTAGCGTGCTAACACGACTAGGGGTAGCGTAAGTTGACCGTGTGGATGTTCTCACTTGGCACTCGGAGTAGCTACGACCTTTCACGAGGGTTGTTTGTTTACAATCAAAAATTAAAAATATATTTCGCGCGGTTTAGATGCAGAAGGTTGGTCGGGGTCGACTAGAGCGGACCCATCCCTTTACCTTTAAAAAGAATCACATCAATGTGGCTTTTATCGAAAGGGTGCGGTGCGGTGCGGCGCGGTGTGGTGTGCTCAACGCACCCATTCGATAAAAGCGGGGGGGGGGGGCTTTTCTCGAAAGGGTGCGTCGACTAGTCTTTCGCATCAGTCGTTTAAAATGAGGATCTGGGACAGAAGGTAATAGTTGCCAATTTAAGTATATCGAAAATGTATCAAATAAAATGGAATGGTCTTGATTACAGAGTGGTCTCTTTCGTTATTCTATGTTGATAAGGGAGACAGAGAAAAGGAAAAAAGGGAAAGGGAAAGGGAAGATAAAAGGAAAGAAAGAAGAGGAAGAAGGAAAGAGGGAAACGGTGGCGAAGGGCTCTTGCCTCCTCCCTCCCCCCCCCCCCCGCCAAAAAGTAAATAAGAGAGAGAAGGGAAAGGGAAAGAAAATATAAAAGGAAAGAAAGAAGAGGAAGAAGGAAAGAGGGAAACGGGGGCGAAGGGCTCTTGCCTCCTCCCTCCCCCCCCCCCGCCAAAAAATAAATAAGAGAGAGAAGGGAAAGGGAAAGAGAAGATAAAAGGAAAGAAAGAAGAGGAGAAGGAAACGGGGGCGAAGGGCTCTTGCCTTCCCCCCCCCCCCGCCAAAAAATAAATAACAGAGAGAGAGAGAGAGAAGGGAAAGGGAAAGAGAAGATAAAAGGAAAGAAAGAAGAGGAAGAAGAAGAAAAGAGGGAAACGGGGGCAAAGGGCCCTTGCCTCCTTTTTTTCCTTTCTTTTCCTTTCTTTCCTATTCTCCCTCTTTTTCGTTTTTCTCTTTCTTTCTTTTTCTTTTTCCTTTCCCTCTCTTTTTCCCCCTCCCCTTTTCTCTTTTTTCCCGACGGCAGCGCAATTTTACCGACAATATCCTGACAGGTGGGGGGGGGGGTGCGCCTCTACCTACGCCACTGTTGGCGACCACAAGGCTATCAATACAAATTAAGACATATTAATGAAGGTTCTTTTTTAATGTTGCAGAGAGATAATTATTTTCTCTATGAACTTGTTTAATGGTAGGATAATAAATAATATTAAAAACATGAATACTATAGCGGTATAATGATGAGAGAGATGATTTAAGTCATACTTTTTTTCAATGTGATTGGAGTAGACTTGAGGGTGGGGGGGGGGGTCCCCCCTAAGATCTCGGCCGTTTCACAGCCGATCGCCGCGAAAATGTGCATGCATGTCAAGTGAAGTGTATAAAAAACTATGGTAATTTCAATTTTTTTTTTTAATTCACTGATTTGCATATTTATGGTAATTTATGCAAACAAGGTCAGAGAATTCACATTTTTACCCATAAATCATATATAATCTATATTCAAGCGTTCTTTTTCACTACATATATTCGTTAGATAATTTGTATTTATGTATTATATTGTTTTTGTTGTTTTTATTTCATTTCTAACCACAATTCAACTATTTTGACCGCAAAACAAACACATCAACTTGAAAACAAGAACAAAGAACCAATGTTTTCTCTTTTTTTAAAAGAATAAATGGTATTTCCATATGTTTGGTACATAAATCACAAAAATGAGCGATTTTAGGGCTGACATGCAAAAACAAAAGGTCACGTGACTCCGCAACTATACGTCCAATTTTCAACAAAAAAATGTTTCAAAAGATGCGTAAGACTCGAAAGAAAAAAGTCATGAAAGAAAAACTTTATATCTGCCGCGGTTCCGGAGTAGTCGCGAAATTACTAGAGAGCACTAATCTTTTTTGGGGGCCCTCGAAAATTTGAAAAATCGTACCCCCCCCCCCCCCTTTAAACGCCAGGGAGGGGGGGGCCTATCTCCCAAAAACGGTAAAAATCAACGTGTTTTTTTACACGTTTTTTTCACAGGCCGGAGTCCTCAGAAGCTCAGGGGTATTAAACATCAAAATTAATGTCGGATGAGCATAATTTTATACCTTATTTGTGACAGTGGCAGGACACAATTTGGTGTTGGGTCCAGGGGGTGGAGCCCCCAGAAGCTCAGGAGTTTTGTAAATTAAATTATTATTATTTTATCACGAATTGGCGTGGGGTCAAGGGGGTGGAGCCCCCGGAAGCTCAGGGGTTTTGGGCAATAAATAACGGTCAGATGAGCATATTTTTATATCTATTTGTGACACTGGCAGGACACATATTCTTCTTCCTCTTCTTTCTTTCCTTTTATCTTCTCTTTCTTTTTCCTTCTCTCTCTCTCTCTCTCTCTCTCTCTTATTTATTTTTTGGCGGGGGGGGGGAGGAGGAGGCAATAGCCCTTCGCCCCCGTTTCCCTCTTTTCTTATTCTTTTTCCTCTTCTTTCTTTCCGGTTAGATTTTCTTTCCCTCTCCCTTCTTTCTCTCTCTCTCTTATTTATTTTTTTGGCGGGAGGGGGGGTGGGGAGGGAGGAGGCAAGAGCCCTTCGCCCTTCCCACGTTTCCCTCTTTTCTTCTTCTTCCTCTTCTTTCTTTCCTTTTATATTTTCTTTCCCTCTCCCTTCTCTCTCTCTCTCTCTCTCTCTCTCTCTTATTTATTTTTGGCGGGGGGGGAGGGGGAGGGCAAGAGCCCTTCCCCCCCCCCGTTTCCCTCTTTTCTTCTTCTTCCTCTTCTTTCTTTCCTTTTATATTTTCTTTCCCTCTCCCTTCCCTCTCCCTCTCTTATTTATTTTTTGGCGGGAGGGGGGGGGGGAGGTGAGAGCCTTTTGCCCTTCCCCCGTTTCCCTCTTTCTTATTCTTTTTCCTTTTCTTTCTTTCCTTTTATATTTTCTTTCCCTCTCCCTTTTCCCTCTCCCTCTCTTATTTATATTTTTGGCGGGAGGGGGGGGGGAGGTAAAAGCCTTTTGCCCTTCCCCCGTTTCCCTCTTTTCTTATTCTTTTTCCTTTTCTTTCTTTCCTTTTATATTTTCTTTCCCTCTCCCTTCCCTCTCCCTCTCTTATTTATATTTTTGGCGGGAGGGGGGTGGGGAGGGAGAAGGGAGAGCCCTTCGCCCTTCCCACGTTTCCCTCTTTCCTTCTTATTCCTCTTCTTTCTTTCCTTTTATATTTTCTTTCCCTTTCCCTTCTCTCTCTCTGATTTATTTTTTGGCGGGGGGGGGGGAGGCAAGAGTCCTCCGCCCTTCCGCCGTTTCCCTCTTTTCTTCTTCTTCTTCCTCTTCTTTCTTTCCTTTTATCTTCTCTTTCCCTTTCCCTTTCCCTTCTCTCTCTATCTCTTATTTATTTTTTGGCGGGGGGTGGGGAGGGAGGAGGCAAGAGCCCTTCGCCCTTCCCACATTTCCCTCTTTCCTTCTTATTCCTCTTCTTTCTTTCCTTTTATATTTTCTTTCCCTTTCCCTTCTCTCTCTCTCTCTTATTTATTTTTGGCGGGGGTGGGGGAAGGAGACAAGAGCCCTTCGCCCTTCCCCCGTTTCCCTCTTTCCTTCTTATTCCTCTTCTTTCTTTCCCTTTCCCTTCTCTCTCTCTTATTTTTCTTTTTAGGCGGGGGGGGGAAGAGCCTTTCGCCCTTCCCCCGTTTCCCTCTTTCCTTCTTCCTCTTCTTTCTTTCCTTTTATATTTTCTTTCCCTTTCCCTTTCCCTTCTCTCTCTCTCTTATTTATTTTTTTGGCGGGGGGGGGGGGGGGGGGTGAGGAGGAGGCAAGAGCCCTTCGCCCCCCCCCCCCCCGTTTCCCTCTTTTCTTCTTATTCTTCTTTCTTTCCTTTTATCTTCCCTTTTCCCTTTCCCTTTTTTCCTTCTCTCTGTCTCCCCCAATCAACATAGTAATAACGAAAGAGACCACTCTGTAATCAAGACCATTCCATTTCATTTAATACATTTTCGATATACTTAAATTGGCAACTATTACCTTCTGTCCCATATCCTCATTTTAAACGACTGATGCGAAAGACTAGTCGACGCATCCTTTCGAGAAAAGCCCCCCCCCCCCCCACACTTTTATCGAAAGGGTGTGTTAAAACGGTACTCCGCTCTCAACGCACCCTTTCGAGAAAGCCCCCCCCCCCCCTCTTTTATCGAATGGGTGCGTTGAGCACACCACACCGCGCCGCACCGCACCCTTTCGATGAAAGCCCATCAATGTTCAGCTTACTCATTTAAAAATGCATAAGAATGTACCATTTTCCGGTGCGATGCTTGCGTAGTATAAATGTAGGTAGCCTATTTGTTCCGGTATATTTATATCGTTAGTATAAGGGCTATTATAGTTATCATTATTATTGTTGTTGTTGTTATTAATATCACGTTAATTTTTCGTTCGCTCTCCAGGACCCAAATCTCATGACCCTGTGATGATCGTGGCTGCCAGCGCCCTCTGTGTTCTTATCGCTCTTACTGTCGTCAACGCGCTGATGAAGATGCGCATGCGTCGTCCTCGCCCCGAGCAGATTGGCTATCGCAGAGTGGGTGTTACTGAGCAGGACTAATAACGCATGAAGAGAGAGAGGAAGAAAGAAAGAAGAAGAAGATGAAATCCCTTTGATTGGAGTAAACTTACAAGTATAATTTTAAAGTGTCATAGCTCCTCTTTGCACGGAATCATTTTGAATATTCGTTGTTTAGCTTGTGTTGATAAAGAAACCTCTGAAATGGGGAAACCTTTTGATTCAAACATCAAGATAACTGCAATGAGTTTTAATTAATACAGCCTCTTAATGAAGGATATCTTATTGGTGATCTGAGATGTATGATTGTTTCTTCTTCTTTTTGCCCGTAATCCTTGTTTGTGTGATAGCCAAACATAAATATAAAAAATACCTTTAGCTAGAAGTACGAAGCCTAAAATCAATGCATAGACGCCTGTATGAGTATGTGTTCTATGCTTTCCCATATATTTCTAGACAGATCTTATCAAACTAAGTTTTAAATTCTTTTTTCTTCTTTCATTTAATATTCGTAATGTTGTAGTCTAGTTTGACAAATTTTAGACGGTGACATGTGCTTGTTTTATTATTTTGTGCACATAAAACTTTGATTCTGTGTGATAGCCAACCAGAAATATAGATTCGTACCTTTAGCTGGCAGTAGAAATTCTAAAATGAATGCATATACACTTGTATGAGTATGTGTTCTATGCTATTCCATGTATTTCTAGACAGATCTCCTCAAACATAGATTTTTCTTCTTTTTTCTTCTTTCATTTAATATTCGTTATGTTTCACTTACGTATTTAGTTGCGTTTTGTTCCATCGTCCATTTCAATAATGGCAGAATTTCTTTATGTTGCTCCCTATCGAAAAATAATTAATTTGCTCTTTTTGTTGGTATTAGCAGTGCGTAGGACTATAAATGTCACAGTATTGTTCTTTCTTGTTTTTGTTTTGCTTCTGTTAAGAATAACTCGATCGCAAAGACTTTTCGAGAAATTAACTAAATGTTGCCTTTCGAGATCACGTTCAGATTTAGTAATAACGTCATTGTGATGTTCGCATCCTCTCAGGTGACGCACAGGGCCATTGAAATCGCTCTAGGTTGGCTTCTCGAAAGTCTTTGCGCTCGTGTTGCATGTAGATCTTTCAGATAGGCTAAAGAGTTTGAAGGTAAAATGGTTCGCTTTTTGATATGTGTTTACTTCGGTGCAATACGATGGGTTCTATTTTTCTCACCATTATCTGACGTCAAGTCTATCTTTTTCCGTCAACTTTCATTGGAATCGAAAAGAAAATAAATATGTTAAAATACATGTAAAGTATTTTTAAATTATTCAAGAAGAAAGATGTCTTCCATTCTTCTAGTGATTAAATATATCTTATAATTATGTCTCGTTGAGCTCGTTTCTTAAACATGCTCTCACCATATTACTGGTGTGTACTGCATTATCATTTTAGTCAACACCTTAGTTTTTAATACTGTGCCTCCAGCACCAGAGGTGACAACTTTAGCATCATATTTTTGGCTATTGATCTGTTCATCACCTGTTGTCATCTCCACACTATGTGTTAAGGTTACCTAACTTGTAGACATGGTTAAACATTTTCACACATGAGTTAAAAACCTACAATGATTTTTGGATTGGCAATCTCTTCATACCGTACTATTGTTCAACCCGAATGATTGACGTACAATAACAGCTATCGCTCAATAAGTCATCATTTATATCTAAAACTAAATGCATGTATTCGTTTTTTCACACAATGAATAATGGATACGGAATGGAGAACTCCTTTCATCAGGGGACTACTCCATTTAAAGCAGAGAAGTAGAAATCCATTCTCTTTTTAGTCATTTCAGCAGTCACTGCATTAAGAGTTGAATCCACTCCGAATTATAAAGGAATCTCCTCCAATGTAGTGGTTTGAAGTACTCCATTGAGAGTGAATTCAACTACTCTTGAGTGTGGATTTTCACTTCTGTATTTAGAGAGCAGGTTAGGTCATGATTGATGTAGCCCCCTTTGAAGAACGAGACCTTCATGTTGAGAGGTGGGATTTTTCTCGTTTGATTGGCTTTTTTCGTATATTACTTCACGTATTAAGTGAAATGTATTCACTCCTTATTGTACTTATTACATAAATATATGTATTAGTTACTTTATATTCCTTACCTAATTAAGTTACTTTTAATCACGTTTCTTCAATTTTTCTTTCAAAATATGTACTAAGGCATAGTTATTGGTTCATTAAATAGTGTTCTACCTAAATCTGTGGTATGTCTTTGTTAATAATTATGTACTCGTAGCAGACCTCTCCCCCTTCTCTCTCTCTCTCTCTCTCTCTCTCCTCTTTCTCGTTTCTCTGTCCCAATCTGTCTCTCCCTTCTCTCTCCCAATCAGTTTCTCCCCTCTCTCTCTCTCTCTCTCTCCTCTTTCTCGTTTCTCTCTCCCAATCTGTCTCCCCCTTCTCTCTCCCAATCTGTTTATCCCCTCTCTCTCCCCTCTTTCAACGTTTCTCTCTCCTAATCTGTCTCTCCCCTCTCTCCTTTTCTCTCTTTCTCCCTCTCTCTCCCTCGAATTTCGAATACACATAGTACAGGGAGAATGGGAAGGGAGGAATGACAGGAGAGAAAGAGAGAGAGAGAGAGACAGACAGACAGAGAGAGACAGAGAAAAGGAGAGAGAGGGGAGAGACAGATTGGGAGAGAGAAACGAGAAAGAGGAAAGAGAGAGGGGAGAAACAGATTGGGAGAGAGAAGGGAGAGACAGATTGGGAGAAAGGGGAAAAGAGAGAGAGAAAGGAGAGAGGGGAAAGACAGATTGGGAGAGAGAAACGAGAAAGAGGAGAGAGAGAGAACGGGGGAGAAACAGATTGGGAGAGAGAAGGGAGAGACAGATTGGGAGACAGAAACGAGAAAGAGGAGAGAGAGAGAGAGAGAAAGGGACATTAATGGGAGAGAGAAATAGAGAGGGGCAGACAAAAATATGTGATAAAGGGGAAGCTATGAAGCTATATTTACTGCATTTTAATGAACGAACAATTTTTAAAATCTTTTGAATATTTGTTGGATTAAAAAATAAGGATTGATTGACGTTATTAAGTGTTTCAAAAATTCGTTCTTTTTATTAATTATTTTGGAAGCGAATCCGGTCAAATATTAGTAAAGAATGCCTGAGCAATATTATTTGGGTTTTGAATGAGATGCCCATTGTCATTTAGTTGAATATTATCTTACTGTCTCGGCTTTTTCTTCTTTAAAATATCATTAATTGTTTGCCTTAATGATTGATTATTATCTTTACTATTTTCAATGTTATTACAAAATTTTAATTTGCGTGAAAAATGAATAATTGAAGTCAATTTATTGCGGTACTTTTTATATGTATTTAGCTTTTCATTGGTAGGGGATCGAAGTGATATTTTAAATAAACGAATTCTAGTAGATATTGATTTGTGTATACCTTGAATAATCCATTGGCGTTTCCTTTTCTTTTTATTTGAGCTAATTCTTTTGTATTATAATGACGATTAAGTTTGTTTCTTGTGAACTGTTCACATCTCTTTCAACATAAATATCATCCTTTAATACCTAACTAAAAAATGTTTATATTCCTTCAAATTGAATACCATGTCTTATTCTAAATTGTGCATCATTACGGGAATAAAAAGCGACACCCCCTCCATTTTCAACTGTGAGGTCTGTATAAATTAATTCATAATTCCCCATATTGAATATTGGAGGAGAAGTTGAGTGTAACCAGGTTTCGGTAAGTCCTATCAAAGAAAATGGAAATGTATTAAGGATAGATACAAATCCTTAAAAACTATCGGAATTCGTTTGTATTGTGATTAACGTTCAATAATTAAGTGCATTGTTCTCAGCGATAACAATAATAATTTACATGTATGTGGTCCCACACATTGTAACCAACCACTTTGAAGATTTTAGAAATTATATGGAGTCTAATCTTGATCTCGGATACCGCATGCTCTTGAACCAAACACTGTTTTACACAGAATAAACATTTTAAAAATATCCTCTGTCGTGAGTAGAAAGAAAGAGATACCTTAACTGTTATCTAACAAACAGAGCAGTTTGCATCAAACATATGCTTATTACAGTTTGTTCAATCACATCTTTATACATTAATTGCTGCCCTATTGTTTGTATAGAATTTATCAGTGTGCCTGATGTAGTAATTTATCTGATTTACACCTGTCATGGTCGACTTCACCTTACCTGGAATTATCAGTTTGTGGTTGCACTGCAGTAAATTATGAACCTACTTTGGACACATCGCTTGGTGTTTACTCACCGGAGGTGTATGAGGGAGAGGCATCCTTTGTTAGTCATTCCAGTCTTAAACCAATACAAGTTCAGTGTTTGTGTAAAAGAGAGTTCGGCTTGCTTCTCCCCGGGTGCGACATTTTTGTCTGCGTCACAGATTGGGGCTTTTTTCTTAAAAAGAGGGCTTAATTTAACCCTAACCCTAACCCTAAACTTTCCCATAGGCTCAACACGCACCTAACCCCAATCTGTGCCGCAGAAAAAAATAACGCTCCCCGGGTGCAGCTCCCAAGTGGACTGCCGCCCTCTGATGGTGAGGGCGGCCATTGTAGTCTGCTACCCCAGCTGTTGTAGTCTGCTACCGTAACAGTGCATACAAAATGACAGAAGTCCAGTACCTTAACCCTTTAATCATATATGGAAATCAGGATAACACACTCAATAAGAAATTAGTAATTGTTATATATGTAGGTCTAGAAGAACAGAAAAAAAACTTACATTTTTTTTTTAAATATTGGTGTACACGTTTTATCAAGAAGATCAGTTCACAAGGTCGCTTGGCAATTAAGAATAGACTACAAAGGTAAGTTGACTCGAACACAATTCTAATGCAGAGAGAATCAACCGACGATCCTTTCTTTTTTGAAAAGTAGGAGCATACGGAGCTTGCCGTGAAAGCTCTTGCATTGATCATTGCCTGTTGCTTGCATCCAAGGACAGGGAATTGCGGCCATATTTGCCCCTCTCGACCCAGGTGTATGAGATGGGTAACTGACTATATCCTGAGAATAATAACAATTGCCAAGCCCTCAGGGAAAGCAGTATTGATACTTATGGGAATCACACTATGTGACACTATTTTTACCATCATTATCATTATAATCAGTAGTTATAGTAGTGGTAGTAGTAGTGAAAGTAGAAGAAGTAGAGGTAATAGTAGTAGGAGTAGTAGTAGTAGTAGTAGTAGTAGTAGTGGTAGCTGTAGTATAATATCAACCTAATTATGACCATAAATGGGTCTTCTTGCATATTTTGATGATAAATATGTTATTCAAGAAATTATTGATAGGGTCTATTTAAACATCCAATTTCGGTGTAGGATTGTATACTTTGTTATTAATTATAAAGTAATAACATTCTACATTTGATATCCAAGGGATTCATTTGTAATGAATTATAAGGACACAAAAAAATATTAAGGTAAAAAGTTAATGGTTATTTAGATTAAATGAGTTATTAATGTACTTAATAACTATAAATGATTGCAGATGAATTTGGCAATGCTTTTGCTATCAAGATAAATATTTTATGGTCTCGTTTGTCTTTGAAAAGAAATGATTATGCGAGGAAAGAAGAAATATGTCATTCAGTAAGTACAAATGTAAAGAATCATTTCATAGAAATGAAATAAAGACATAAAATGTAAGAATTCAGATTTATAAGATATTATTCATGATGAAAGATTAACTGATGTGTATGGAATGAATGATGACACATTGGAGTAAAAATGATTAACAATTATGTGATGTCACATAATAAAATAGATGTTTGAAATGTTTGTTTTATATTTCACGCAATGCGACTCTTTAATAATTTAATTTTGGACTTCTGAATAGGAGCTACGTATAATGACTGAGTTCTCAACCTAGGGAAGGCGGAGTGACGAGAGCAATCTTGAAGACTCCCTGTAATCACTTTCAGGGCCTTCGATATGACATTTCAAGTTCGCTGCGAAGTGTTAGTCGAGCAAGACTGTACACATCTTAGGACAAAGTTATTGAACTGGGAAATAGTTAAAAGGCACATAACCGATGTACATAACAGGCAATTTTCGTAATGTAATCAAATTTAAAGTGCCTCGCTATCAATTAATTTATTCACCTGAGTGTTACGAACTATTGTATTTCAACAGTCAGAATGTGAATTGCATACATTACATGCTGTCTTGCAGGACATTTGTAATAGTGCAGTAAATTAATGTACTTAAGACGATAATCAGTAATAACAATTTGACAATATTGAAGTCTTGACATTAATATATTTGGTAACAAACTGATATTTGGTTCAATCTTAGACATTGAGCCTGTTCATATTTTCACAAGCTATGTTGACATTTGCTTAATTCTTCTCATTAGTTGATTGATGGTATTTGGATACTTTAGTATGGCAATATGATTAAATTACTCAACTTTTGGCAAGCTTTACACATTATTTTTAAACTTGAGTCCTTAGTTAAATAATTTCCATTCTTCATGTTACCATTCGTTATCAAAATTAATCAAAAGGTCGTTAACTAAATAATATAATGTCTTGCTTTTTAAAAAATTCAAATTCAGTATTAATGTGCAGTGGAGGTGCTAAATTTGTCTCCCTATGAAACAACATAGTTCCCTATCGTAGTCAGACATTTCAAATATAGATATTTTATATTTAGCCAATTCAAATTACGGGTGATTATTAAAGCATCGTGATTTAACTTCATCGAAGAAAAAAATAGTGTTTTTCCTTTTTGATTTTCGCTGCACGATAGCAACAAAAAACAATTTATTTCAAGACGAAAGGAAGAAGCAAAATGGGAAAAGAGATAGTGGAGATTGCTAATACGATATTAGAAATGTCTTCGAAAAAAAATATGAAAGGAAAAGAAAACTCTCCTTGAGCTAATAATATCGATTTGTATCGCTAAGGGCTTTCCCTTTAACTGATAGGTTTGTTTTTCAGAGAGGTTCCCTGATGGTCTTTTGCCGATGTGCTTCGAATACAAAATCATGAGGAAAAGAATCATGCAGTAATATAAAGGAATATTCAATTCACCCTCCTTCACCGTCAGGAATTTTCCTCTTCGCTGACAATAAGTCGTCGGTCTTCGGAAACTAATTTCCGGAGCGAGTTATGTGAAAGCATTTTGAAATAAAATGTAGCAAGATATTGCTTTCGGAACATCGTGATCAGAGTTTGTATAGAAGATCAAGATAAAGA